CACTTTTCCAACCATTTCCATCCAACTTTTCCCCCCAATTTCCCTCATTTTTCCCCATTTTCTCCCATTTTTTCCCACTATTTTCCCTCACCGTTTTCCTTTCTTTTCCCACCCCTTTCCCCAGTTTTTCCCCCTCCATTTCCCCCCATTTCCCCTCATTTTTTACACTTTCCCCCAATTTTTCCCCATTGCCCCACATTTTCTCCTCATTTCCCCCAACGTCTCCCCCCTTTTCCTTTCACCTTTTCCCGCTGTTTCCCCCCCATTTTCCCCCATTCCCCTTCCCATTTCCCCTTCACTTTTCCCCACAATTTCCCCACCTCTTTCCCCCCATTCCTTCCTGTATTTTCCCACCCTTTCCTTTCACTTTTGCTCCATTTCCCGTCACTTTACACCATTTCCCCCAAATTCCCATCCCATTCCCACCTGTCTCTCCCCCCTCCTCGCCCTTTCCCTCACCACAAATGATTGCAGCCTTTCAAAATGGCAGCGCTTCAAAATGGCGGCGCTTCAAAGTGGCAGTGCTTTAAAATGGCGGCGCTTCAAAATGGCGCCAAAATGGCGGTACTTCAGAATGGCGCCAAAACGGAGGCGCTTCAGAATGGCGCCAGAATGGCGGCGCTTCAGAATGGCGCCAAAATCGCGGTGCTTCAATATGGCGCCAAAATGGCGGTACTTCAGAATGGCGCCAAAATGGAGGCGCTTCAGAATGGCGCCAGAATGGCAGCACTTCAGAATGGCGCCAAAATGGCGGCGCTTCAAAGTGGCGGCGCTTCAAAATGGCAGCGACTCCAAAATGGCGGCAACGCAAAATGGCAGCGCTTCAAAACATCTGCAAAGATGGCAGCACCTCACAAAATTGCGGTGACTCAAAATGGCGGCGCTTCAGAATGGCGCCAAAATGGCAGTCCTTCAAAATGGCGGCGCCTCAAAGTGGCGGCAAATCAAAACCGCACTGCCTCAAAATGGCGGCCTCGGAAAATGGCGGCCACACAAAGTGACGTCGCCTCAATGTGTCGCGTTACAAAATGGCGGCATTTCAAAATGGCAGCCCAAGATGGCAGCACCCCATTAAGACAGTGCCACACAATGTCGCCCCAAGATGGCGGCACCCCAAGATGGCGGCGGCATGTT